TAGGTCAGAGACCCCTTTCTGTCAGGCTAACCGTTGGTGGTTTTCGTGGTTTCCCTCTCCAAGTAGCGTAAATGCGGGTTAGTTCCATAAAGAAAAGGCCTCCACGAAGGCACATTTCTCCCAATACTTGATCCAGGAGCTCCCTTGTCCTCTGGATTGGATTCAAAATTGCAAAGCTACGGAATTAAACATTAGTAGTCGTAAACTCAAAATTAGGTCGGCTGTTTAATGATGGTCATAAAATAAAGTTTTAAAAAAAATGAGTTGAGTTGAGAGAATACCACAAAAAACATAAAATAAAGATTTATTTTCTGTTAAAGCTGAACGGTATAGGGTTTTCGTGATTTTTCCTCTCCATGTAACGCAAAGGCGGGTTAGTTCCATCAAAAAGTCCAGCACGAAGGCAAATTTCTCCCAATGCTTGATCCAGGAGTTCCCTTGTCTTCTGGTTTGTGTTCAGAATTACAACCAAGAAGTTGAACACTAGTAATCGTAAGCTCTAAATTGAGTCGGCTGTTCAACGACGGTTATAAAAAACATTATGATTCAGAAATTTAATTGAACAGAACATTAAAGAAATTTATTGATACTGGTAATTTTACTAATACTATTATAAGAATTCTAAATATTAGTTTTATTGATGCTGAAGATTAAATTCTTACTGTCAGATAGAGGGTAAGGGATTATAGTTTGATGTTTGCTTAGAAAGGGGGGAAGGGGTAGCTAGAAAACACCAAAATATACTTACGTAAAATTGAACAATCGCATATAATTTTTTAATGCTGGGTTGGCATAAAGGTGAAAAATTTAAAGCGTTCCACCAAGAAAAACATCCTTCTGACATAAAAAGAATATTTACATTTATGCTTTATTCCGGCATTTCCTTGATTTTATGGATGAAATAATTGTGAGTTAAAAAGGTAATTTTGTTAAATTTTTTAAATAAGTCCTAATTAAAATGCCCTTTTATGAAATTTTTATGTTTCTTTATTAAATATTTGTTGCACTTATGTTAAGCATGTTATGTTGAACTTTTATGTTAAACAAATGAAATACACAATGATTCGATTCCGTTTTTTCTCCAAAAAAAAAGGGAAAAAAACTGGCGTCTTATCTTATTTTAGAAGTAGTGTACATCTAGCTTATCGCGGTTACAATTGGGAATTCCTCTTATATTTGACGATTTGAAAATAAATCAATATATATGAAAACAAACCATGACCAATCACGTTTCAGTAAACAAAAGTCGTGGTAATAGTTTACAATTGGGGGTCCCTTTGCCAAACACAGGGCATCAAAAATCAGACAAGATAGAGAGAACAATACACTTGTTTGAATTTAAAGCTCAATATGAGTATAAGTGGATTTTACTCAACACTCAAATAAGATCTTTATAACGCATGCTATTCGGGTTTGAGAGAAAATTACCAAATTAATTGTTCAAAAAATAAATAATGGGGATATTTCCGTACCGTGATCTATCGCGCCAACTGAAATCGCCAAAGTGCCAAATAGATAAATTTTTTAAAAAAGAACTTGTAGATGCTTGCCCGGGGGTGGCTGCGAGCTATACCTTTTTAGTTAGTCCCTTTCTGTGAAGTTTTTTTTAGTTTTTCGCAGGCCACTGCCCAGCAGTTTATGCCCGATTATTCTGCCACTGATCACGATACGGAAATCTCCCCTAAATAATTATGAATCGCTTCTGTCCTCTGTTAAATTTGGCGAATATAACCAGTTCATTATAGACAAAGGCTTCCATTACAATTCATAGACTTCTGTTACCATGGTATGTATATTAGGTACCATCCTAGGTTAAGTACCTGTTACTGCAGTTCCCATTAAATTGTAATGGGATACCTGTAAGTAACGTAGTGTGGGTTTTTCAATCCTGATTGGTTGTTGAAACGTGGCATTTGTTTACGCTAGCAACAGTTTTTTTCCATTATATTTCGAGTAAGCCAAGCCCGTCAAAGTATCCATTCTCTTAAGTGACATACTCTAAATTCTTTCGCAAAGATTCTTTCTCAAAGATTTCAATTCTTTCACTATATATTTACACCGAGACTTAACACAAAGACAGGCACGAAGCCACGTGGAACATAAACAAACTAATTATGCATCAAAGTTGCCTGGGACACAAAGCAAAAATGTATCACTGTTACAATAAAATGCATAAACAAATAATAAATCTAAGTTTAAGTAAAAGAAGTAGAAGAGAAAGAATTATATTTCAGCTAATTCGATGTGCGATACGTCTTTGTAATTCATTAACTTATCGTTAATTAACATTCTAACTTATGTAGAGAAACTTACCACAACTTTTATACGACATTTTGCTGATAAGGATTAGCTGGAGCTGACGTCATAGGTCATATGTGTGTATATGGATGGCCTTCTTCTTGAAGTGCAAGTACCCAATTTCTCCTATTAACGCATTTAATTAAGTATCACTGGCTTCAATAATAGTTTGGCGATTTTTTTCAGAGTCCCCGAAACGAATAGAAATTTCAAATATTTTATTGAGTGAAAAAGGTTTTGATTGTATTCTCTTAGCTTCAAAAAATGCTTACAAGTGTATAAAATGTTTTAAAGGTAAAAATTAAAAAAAATTTCTTTTTTCATGCTCTGTAAAAAACTCTGAAGGTTTGAAAGTTACTAGAAGCTTTATTTTATTATTTTTTGTATCATTAATTAAGACTAATCTGATAACTAGCCTAAAAGAAATTGGCAATTATTTAAGCAAAGTTAAAAATAAAAATAATGACAATAAATTACTTTATTGTCATAATGAATATTTACTTTATTCGGCAGCATATTTTGATACACCTAAAAGAACGAGGTATTCATCCTATTATAATTTGAAACATAAGGCGTGAGGTATTTTCGATTCACTATTCCATTTTTTTAGATGGAATTATAACAATTCAATTCTTCAATCAGTATTTTTGAAAGGTAGTTTAGTATTGCACATTTGTCTGTTTTTAGAATTTTGATAAATAGCACAATTTTTGACCCTTGCGTTATAAAAATACTTTTAGCGTCTTCCGATTTTCAATCATTTCAATTGTAAAATAAAATCGTTCAATTAAAAAAGAAACATTGAAACTAGCAAAGTCGTATTCGTCTCTTCTGCTATTAATTCACACATTCGATTAATTAAAACAATACATCAGAACAATGAATCAATTAAATTAAAATCAGACTAATGCTTTAGTTTGTTTTCAGTAACTTTATTAACATTTTAAGTAATCAATTTTCTGATTAGTTAGACTTCGAGATTTAAAGAAATAATCTATATATTTTTTTTACTCTCTAACATTCTAAACAATATGTTGTTTCTTTCCTAAGGTAACATCTCCTTCGACTTACGAATATCAATCCTTCAATGAAAATTAGCTATAATATCTTCAAAAAAAATATTAATTCAGTAAATTAAATGGAAATCTTCGATTGTTTTCTTTGGAGGAATTCCATCCAAATTCTGCTAGCGTGTCAAATTGTATTTTTTCCTGTGGTGCTCTGTTTTGGAACGTTTCATCAAAAAAGTTCTGAACCCGAAATAACGACACAAATCGGTCCCTCGCAAGAGGATAAGGAAATTTTGCAGGAAGCATTACACCTGCTTAATATGGGAAAGAAAACGTTAGGCCTAAGCACGGTGAACCCTCAGCAAGTAATGCAGTTGGTGAACAACTCCAATGCTAAAGATACACAGATTCGAAATATTCTACAGAAACCACTGAACCATTTTGTGCCCAACAGTGAACAATACATGGTTTTGTCCGGTAAAAACNTTTTTTTTTTTTTTTAAGGTTTTCATTTCATTTTAATTTCAAAAATAGCAGCACACAGTTAGTTTTTTGCCTTTTTTTCATGATCTTCTTAGCATTTTGTGGCGTATCTCAGCTTGTCATCTCTGGCCGTCAACCGCAACAGACTATATGATTTGCCCAGAACAACAAATACAACAGAATACAAAAAATGCAAAAATAGGTGAATGGCATAATCCTCCTATTAGGAGAGTGGCTTTCGAATCCCAGCGATGGCTGGTCTATACGAAGTCCGCACCAGGCTTGCACCGACCACAGTGAGGACGTAAAATATCCTTAGTGATGGAAGGATCATAGGTCAGAGACCCCTTTCTGTCAGGCTAACCGTTGGTGGTTTTCGTGGTTTCCCTCTCCAAGTAGCGTAAATGCGGGTTAGTTCCATAAAGAAAAGGCCTCCACGAAGGCAAATTTTTCCCAATACTTGATCCAGGAGCTCCCTTGTCCTCTGGATTGGATTCAAAATTGCAAAGCTACGGAATTAAACATTAGTAGTCGTAAACTCAAAATTAGGTCGGCTGTTTAATGATGGTCATAAAATAAAGTTTTAAAAAAAATGAGTTGAGTTGAGAGAATACCACAAAAAACATAAAATAAAGATTTATTTTCTGTTAAAGCTGAACGGTATAGGGTTTTCGTGATTTTTCCTCTCCATGTAACGCAAAGGCGGGTTAGTTCCATCAAAAAGTCCAGCACGAAGGCAAATTTCTCCCAATGCTTGATCCAGGAGTTCCCTTGTCTTCTGGTTTGTGTTCAAAATTACAAGGCTACGGAGTTGAACACTAGTAATCGTAAGCTCTAAATTGAGTCGGCTGTTCCACGACGGTTATAAAAAACATTATGATTCAGAAATTTAATTCAACAGAACATTAAAGAAATTTATTGATACTGGTAATTTTACTAATACTATTATAAGAATTCTAAATATTAGATTTATTGATGCTGAAGATCAAAATCTTACCGTCAGATAGAGGGAAAGGGATTGTAGTTTGATGTTTGCTTTGAAGGGGGGAAGGGGTAGCTAGAAAACACCACAAGATACTTACATAAAATTGAACAATCGCATATAATTTTTTAATGCTGGGTTGTCATAAAGATGCAAAATTTAAAGCGTACAACTAAGAAAAAACATCCATCTGAAATAAAAAGAATATTTACATTTATGCTTTGTTCCGGCATTCTCTTGATTTTATGGATGAAATAATTGTGAGTTAAAAAGGTAATTTTGTTACATATCATTTTTAAATAAGCCGTAATTAAAATGCCCTTTTATGAACTTCTTATTTTTTTTAATTAAATATTTGTTGCACTTATGTTAAGCATGTTATGTTAAACACTTATGTTAAGCATGTTTTGTTAAACACTTATGTTAAACAAATGAAACACATAATGACTCGATTCAATTTTTCCTCCAAAAAAAAAGGGAAAAAAACTGGTGTTTTATCTTATTTTAGAAGTAGCATACCTCGAACTTATCTCGGTTACAGTTGGGAGCCCCTCTTATATTTGTCGATTTGAAAATAAACCAATCTATATGAAAACAAACCATGACCAATCACGTTACAGTAAACAAAAGTTGCGGTAATAGTTTACAATTGGGGGTCCCTTTTCTAAACATCAAAAATCACATAAATAAATAATGGGGATATTTCCGCATCGTGATCTGTAGCGCCAACTAAAATCGCCAAATAGATTTTGAACTTGCAAATTTCTTTTTAAAAGACTTGCAGATGTTTGCCCGCGGTTGACTACAAGCTATACCTTTCTAGTTGGTCCCTTTCTGTGATTTTTTTTTTTTTTAAAAGTTTGTAGCGTCATTGCCCGGAAGTTTATGCCCGATTGTTCTGCCACTGATCACGATACGGAAATCTCCCCTAAATAATTATGCATCGTTTCTGCCCTCTGATAAATTTGGCGAATATAACCAGTTCATTTATGCAGACAAAGGCTTACATTACAATTCATAGACTTATTGTTCATTTTTTGGTTTTCTAATATGGGGGCAGCAGTTTATATTTCGAGTGGACTTTAGATTACCGCCAAGTTAATTTCGGAATGTTGTATCCGTTATGGCAACTCAAATATTTTATGGAACATTTAGTTATGCTTTTATGCCAAAATCTGAATTTTCATTTCTTATATTTTTATTGCATTATGATTAATACGTAAACACAAATGCCACAAAAGGCCACCAATTTATTATTATTATTTTTTTTTTAATTTCATATTTTGCTTGCAAAATAAACTATTCCGTTTCGAAAATTATATTAGTACGCATGGAACTTTTCAGTTAGCCGGGGGCAAGCGAAAAATCGTCAAAAAATTAAAAACTCCGCAATTTTTTTTTTTTTTTTGACCCATTGAAAAAATTTAAAAAATGATAAATTTCTTCGTGTTCGGCTAAACGAAGAGTATCGAACTTGCACTTTTATTATAGCATAGAACTTGTTTTCGTTTCTTTACAGTTTGGTAAGTAAAAAAATATTTTTAATGCAAAGTTTAATAGAGTGTACAGCTTCCCAAACCCATTATGACCAAGTCCCCATTTCTCAAATTATATTTTATAAATCTTCACTAATTGTGTAATAAACTGGAAAAAATATGTATAAAAAAAAATTTAAAACTTTTTTTTCTTGTAAAGAAAAGTCGAAAACTTCAGAGCATTTTTAGCCGCTATGTACAATGTTAACAAATTATAAAAATCCAAAATTATACAAGATTAAAAATAAAAAGTATTCTTACAATTGTATGGCAAATCTAAATCTTTTTTAACTTCATTATTAGAAAGTGAATAAGTATAAACTATTGGGATATAAATAAATCTTTTTTTGGCAGAAAATTTTTCTTGAGGATTTTTATAACAGCGCATTTTTCAAATATTATCATTTATAAAAGGTTTATCTCTATTGTTACTATATTATTAGCCAAAAAAAAAGCTTTCCTTAAAGTACTAACAACTGCAATAGTTTTAAAAGAAAATTCTTTCACTAGAAAGAGCTTAATTAAATAGCATTTTCAAACTTGTTCGTACATAAATTCGTTAATTATCCATTTTGGGGGCTGTAAATACCCGTTACCATGGTATTAGGTACCATACTAGGTTATTAAGTACCTGTTACTACAGCTCCATTAAATTACAACGGGATGCCCGCAAGTGACGTAGTGTGGGTTTTTCAATCCTGATTGGTTGTTGAAGTGTGGTATTTGTTTGCATTAGCAACTGTTCTTTCCATTGAATTTCGAGAAAGCTAAGCCCGTCAAGTATCAATTCTTTTAAGTGACACACTCTAAATTCTTTGGCAAAGATTCTTTCTCAAAGATTTCAATTCTTTCACTATATATTTACACAGAGACTAAGACAGGCACAAAGTCATGTGGAACATAAACAAACCAATTATGCATCAAAGTTGCCTGGTACACAAAGCAGAATCATATTACTGTTACAATAAAATGCATAAACAAATAATAAATGCAAGTTAAGTAAAAGAAGTAGAAGAGAAAGAATTATATTTCAACTAATTCGATGTGCGATACTGCTCTGTAATTCATTAACTTATCGTTAATTAACATACTATCTTATGTAGAAAAACTTAGCTCAACCTTAATACGCCATTTTGCTGATAAGGATTAGCTGGAGCTGACGTCATAGGTCATATGTGTGGGTAAGGGAGGTCTTCTTCTTGATGGGCAAGTGCCCAATTGCTTCTATTAACGCATTTAAGTATCACTGGCGTCAATAATAGTTTGGCGATTTTTTTTCAGAGTCCCCGAAAACGAATAGAAATTTCAAACATTTTATTGAGTGTAAAAGGTTTTGATTGTATTCTCTTAGCTTCAAAAATGTATAAAATGTGTGTAAAATGTTTTAAAGGTAAAAATTTAAAAAAAAATTTTTTTTTCGTGCTCTGTAAAAAACTCTGAAGGTTTGAAAGTTATGACTAAGTGCAGTTGCTAGAAGCTTTATTTTATTATTTTTTGTATCATTAATTAAGACTAATCTGATAACTAGCCTAAAAGAAATTGGCAATTATTTAAGCAAAGTTAAAAATAAAAATAATGACAATAAATTTTGAAGGTGCGAATCCTCACAAAGTGAGAATACATTCTAAATATGTCTTTAATCCTTTTTGTTCATTTACATTTTATTTCATTTTTACAAATCAACTGATGATGAATATTTACTTTATTCGGCAGCATATTTTGATACACCTAAAAGAACGAGGCATTCATCCTATTATAATTTGAAACATAGGGTGTGAGGTATTTTCTATTCTCTATTCCATTTTTTTCAGATGGAATTATAACAATTCAATTCCTCAATCAGTATTTTTGAAAGGTAGTTTAGTATTGTACTTTTGTCTGTTTTTAGAATTTTGATAAATAGCGCAATTTTTGACCCTTACGTTACAAAAATATTTTTAGCGTCTTCCGATTTTCCATCATTTCAATTATGAAATAAAATAATTTAATTTTAAAAAAATATTGAAACTAGCAACAAAGTCGTATTCGTCTCTTCTGCTATTAATTCACAAATTCGATTAATTAAAATAATGCATTAAAACAATGAATCAATTAAATTAAAATCAAACTAATGCTTTAGTTTGTTTTCAATAACTTTATTAACATTTTAAATAATCAATTTTCTGATTAGTTAGTCTTTACTTCGAGATTCAAAGAAATAATCTATTATATTTTTTACTCTCTAACATTCTGAACAATATGTTGTTTCTTTCCTAAGGTAACATCTCCTTCGACTTACGAAAATCAATCCTTCAATGAAAATTAACTGCAATATCTTTAAAAAAAATATTAATTCAGTAAATTAAATGGAAATCTTCAATTGTATTCTTTGGAGGAATTCCATCCAAATTCTGCTAGCGTGTCAAATTGCATTTTTCCCGGTGGTGCTCTGTTTTGGAACGTTTCATCAAAAAAGTTCTGAACCTGAAATAACGACCCAAATCGGTCCCTCGCAAGAAGATAAAGAAATTTTGCAGGAGGCATTACACCTGCTTAATATGGGAAAGAAAACGTTAGGCCTAAGCACGGTTAATCCTCAACAAGTAATGCAGTTGGTGAACAACTCCAATGCTAAAGATACACAGATTCGAAATATTCTACAGAAACCACTGAACCATTTTGTGCCCAACAGTGAACAATACATGGTTTTGTCGGGTAAAAACGGACACATACAGCTGGTCAATTACACGAATACTACGTTTCCTCCAGAAGAAATTCGACCCAATAACAGTGTTATAGAAGATTTGTTCAAGATAACCATGGAGAAGAAATCTCCGATAAAGACAGGAAAGGGTAAAGTGTTTCACAGAATAACCATCATCGAGACTAATCAGCAAAAACCTTTCGACGAGAAAAATTTCCCTCGTCACATCATAACAGCCAATCGTCCATCCGAGCGTCACAAAATGAGCTCTGTGAATAATCCTTTCTCCTTACCTCGCATTAGAACGAAACGTATGAAACATCAAATGCCTGAGACAGATCGTCCTGGAATGAGCTTAAGATCTAACGCCAAAAACGCCAACGAGAAAGAAGACAGCATAAATCAAGTTGCCAACTTGGAAAGTTCCAGAGTTCCATTACGCCGACACAGGATTCGATCCTCGCGCCATTTTCATTCTCTAAATTATCCAAAATCGACTAAAGTTGATACTCCTCAACTTAAAAAAATCAGCTTCCTGGAAGAATACGGAAAGATAGGTTCCGTCCAAGAGTATTCTGGCAACATCGGATATTCTTTGAATTTTCCCAAACCTGGCCAAGATAATTCTCAATTGCTTACGAAAGACGACAATTATCTTGAGTCGGATCAATACAGGAAGATAGATTCCGATCAACAGTATTCTGGCAACCTTTTGGAACAACAACCATCTCTTGAAACTCACTTGCTTTTGTCGCGGGAAAACGCTTTTATAAATCGCGTCTTGCGGATGGTAATAAATGTAAGAAGAGGAGAAGAAAGAACCATAAGTTTTAAAGTTTTGGCTATTATAATTCTGATTCTGGCAGTCTTAACGCTGTTAGTTTTCCTCCTATACAGGTAATTTCAGTTTTAATATCAATTCTTTTAAAAGTTTTCTTTTCATCGGTGAGCTCTTTTTCCGAGACACATCTCAAAATTAAGAAAGTCAAAATCCATTGATGGACCAACATAATCTTGATGGTAACCATCAATAATTCCATCATAAACCATTATATTTTTTGATAATAAACAACATAAGTAACCACATCACCCCAATGTAGGAATTTTGACTGATTCAACATGAGAATAGCAACTTGTTCTGATGGTTTGTTCATGTTGAACCGTCAGAAATTTCCTTCGTGGTTTCTTAGAAATCAAAGGTTGAAAAGATCGTGAAAGACCTCAATGTAGGAATTCAGACAGATTTATGATGGTTCAGCTATAAAAAAACCGAATTGTTTTGATGGTATATTCCTGCTGAACCAACAATAATTATCATTAAACCATCATGGAAATGGATTGTTGTACCATTATAGACCATCACGAGTTTCCACGGTATCTAAGAAATTAAATGTTGAAACGATTATGAATAACCATCATCCCAATGTAGGAATTCGGATTGATTTATGATGGTGCAACATAAAAAGTATTATTTTGATGGTATATTCCTGAGAACCAACAAGAATTCCCACTCAACCATCATGGGAACGTATAGTTGGAACCATCACGAATTGTTAGTCAGTGAGAATNAAAATAAAACAAGTATATATATAAAACAAGTAAGAAGCTTGTACACAGGGGTTATCAGTTTGATATAGAAGGTTTTTAAAAAATATTAATAATGAAAAATAATGCAATTGTAATTTTAGAAATTGTTTATAGTCCCATACATAAGCATGCAATTTTATTATGTAAATCTCTTATTACAATTTGGTGTTACATTACATTACAAAAAAATCTTACAGTCAATTATGAAAGATTTAATAACTTCCGAATTGAATCTTTCATAATTCAAAACATAAAATATGAAAAAGGACTCAAACTTTGCATTTTAAGACAATCAAAACGTAGTTAACTGGGAAGTTTCTCTTGTCTTATAGGCTGGTACAAAACCTTCTGAAAATTCATTCTTGTTGCTTATCATTCTTAAGAATCCATTTGCTGTTTTGCCTTTCAATGCAGCATTCACTGTAGAATATTCGTTTTTGTAAATCAGAACGTCTCCCTTTTCGAATGGAATTTCTCTTGGGGACTTGGGCACGTGGCCGTAGATGGCTTTTCGTGCAGGAGGAGTTACCCACGCATAATGATGTAGTATGTCCAAACTTACAGCTTTCCTTGACACATCGACAGATTTATCGTCTATGGCGTGCTTCAATTCAAAAGCTAGCCTACACATCTAAAAAAAAGAAGAAAAAAAATTCATTAATTTAATTCGATACATTAAAATTCCCGATTTTTTTAAAAACAATTTTACTGTCAGTAATTTGTTTTGCAATGAAGCTGAAAATCTCTTATCATTTCACTCAAAACATTGATTACAACGCTAATGAATCGGGCTACAATGTTTCCCAATGATCCAAAGGTAAGCTGGACAGATCTTCGAGGCTGAGAAATGGAGGCAATGCGTCAAAAATCTAACCGTTCCAAAAGTTAAAGTCAATGTATACTCAATTTGACGTAAATAAACTGATTTTATTTTATAACCGTCGTTGAACAGCCGACCCAATTATTGGGTTTACGACTACTAATGTTCAATTCCGTAGCCTTGTAATTTTGATCCAATCCAGAAGACAAGGAAACTCCTGTATCAGTACCCCCAGAGGTATTGATTTGTTATGAGAATATGGAGGACTTTGCGACTCGACAGATTTAGCATGCATCAGTCATCATTTACTGCCGGCATCAGACTTCGTGTATCTACAACATGCATCAGTCTTCGGCCGGCGGGGATCGAACACACGAACCCCAACCCCCGACCGACCAGGCTATCCCTGCCTAACGTAAACTGATTGAGAACTTAAGCAAGAATTTAACCGAGCAGTTTCCTGCTTTAGTTACATATTCGTAGAGCTGAACTCTTCTCCCCTTCATATTCTTTGATTCTATTACCCTTTACTGTTGCAACCATTAGTTTTGTTACTCTCTGTATAATCTCAACTTCTGTATAATCTCAACCGGATTTCAATTTCTGTATAATCTCAACCGGATCTCAACTTCTGCTCCCCACTATATTAAAAAATTTAAAGAGGGGAGTATTAGGGAAAATGCAACTGGTACTAGAGAATGCCGAAATGCTAACTTTACGATCAGTTGATACAATTTACAATCTGGTCTTATATTCTCATAAGAATAATTTAAAAATTTAAATGTGATAAAATTTGCTAAAAGACACCGATTGCAAATCCTTTTCGAAAATGAAACTTCCTTATGACTAAAATATTCAAAAACAAAATGTAAAATCTAAAAATGTTAATCTGTAAAGTAAGCTTTAAATATGAATAATTAACCTAGACACGGACGTTAAAATATGAATAATTCCCTGACGAATCGCAAGCAATCATTCTTATTATATTCACATAAATCTAGGTTGTTATGTCCAACTTTCCAACTTAAGATTCTTGCCATAATGCAGGGAAAAAATAACTGGTTTTTGTAAAAATAAATAAATAATAATAATAGAAAAACAAGATGCAAGCTAATGATTATGATGAAAGTTTCATGATACGGAAGAATGTTTAACAAATTTTGATAACATGCATGTCATATATGTGTCATGAATAATTACTCTTAGGTGTTTTTGATATCTTGTGATTTATTGTCAATTTTTTCAGCTTTTTAAAGGATTTAGGATTCGGATTTTTTTAAAACCACTTTTGTTAAAAGTCAGGCAAGTTTGGATGCTTGACATTTTTGATTTTTTTTAAATGTTCAGGATATATGTGTAAAACTATTTGACATGTTTCTTCATTTTTGCGAAAGATTTTCTTTTTCTCGAACTTTTAAGGGTCAAAACTCCAGATTCTTTGAAATTTAAAAAAAAAAGAAAAAACATATCTATTTACAAGTGTAAGTCATGGCACTGACCATTGTTTTATGTTCTAATAACTATTAAGATATAAATACTTTCAGTGGACCTTCGCATCGAANATAAATCTTTTTGTTTTAATTTTGGTAATTTTATTTGCAAGGTTGTACACAGGGAAAATATAAAACAAGTAAGAAGCGTGTACATAGGGGTTATCAATTTAATACAGAAGATTTATAAAAAAAAAATTTATAACAGAAAAGTATGAAATTGTAATTTTAGAAATTGCTTATAGTCGCATACATAAGCATACAATTTTCTTACGTAAATCTCTCATTACTATTTGGGATTTAAAAAAAATCTCTCACTCAATTATGAAAGATTTAATAACTTCCGAATTGAATCTTTCATAATTCAATATATAAAATATGAAAAAGAGCTCAAATTTTGCATTTTAAGACAATCAAAACGTAGTTAACTGGAAAGTTTCTCTTGTCTTATAGGCTGGCACGAAACCTTCTAAAATTTCATTCTTGTTGCTTATCATTCTTAAGAATCCATTTGCTGTTTTGCCTTTCAATGCAGCATTCACTGTAGAATATTCGTTTTTGTAAATCAGAACGTCTCCCTTTTCGAATGGAATTTCTCTTGGGGACTTGGGCACGTGGCTGTAAATGGCTTTTCGCGCAGGAGGAGTTACCCACGCATAATGATGAAGTATGTCCAAGCTTACAGCTTTCCTTGACACATCGACAGATTTATCGTCTATAGCATGCTTCAATTCAAAAGCTAGCCTACACATCTAAAAAAAGAAAAAAAAATCAATAATTTAATTCGATACTTTAAAATTCCTGATTTTTTAAAAAAAAAACAGTTTTACTGTCAGTAATTTGTTTTGCAATGAAGCTGAAAATTTCCTATCATTTCAGTCAAAACATAATTTGCAACCGCTAATGAATCGGGCTACAATGTTTACTAATGATCCAATGTACGTCTGGAAACGACGTTCATTAGATATCTTCAAAAAAAAAAAAACGTAAGCGAGACAGATTCTGGAGGCTGAGAAATGGAGGCAATGCGTCAAAAATCTATTCGTTCTAAAAAGTTAAAGTCAATGTATACTCAATTTGAAGTAAACTGATTTTATTTTATAAGCGTCATTGAACAGCCGACCCACTTTTGGGGCTTACGACTACTAATGTTCAGCTCAACTCCGTAGCCTTATAATTTTGAGCCCAATCTAGAAGACAAGGGAACTCATGGCCCAAGTAATGGGAGAAATTTGCCTCGTTGACTTTTTGATGGAACTAAACCGCATTTGCGTTACATGGAGAGGAAAACCTCACACGCTTAGCCTGATGACGAGGGGACTCTAACCCATGATCCGTCTACCACTGAGGATATTTTACGTCAGCAACTGTGGTCGATGCAAGCCGGATGCGGAATTCGTATCGAGCAACCATCGCTGGGATTTGAACTCGGTTCACCTCATTGGAAGGCGAACGCTCTATCCCCTGAGCCATCACGGCTCTTGGATAAACATTGACTTCTTTTCATGAAGAAAAAACAAACTATTTGCTCATTTAGGGTACTATTTGCTCATTAAGGTACAAAACGTTTAAATTCTGGCTCAAATCATAGCCTTAGCAGAATCTTAGTACATATGATGCTCTGCTAAATCTGAGTATAATAGCTTGTCATGCTATTACGATGTTAGCTAACCATCTAGCATATGAAGCAGGCAAGCATAAAAAATCATATAATAACTTGTTAAGGCGTCTACCTCTTCATGATTTGGAACCAGCTTAAGCAGCTAATAAGCATGAGGTGCTTGTATATAGCTTATCAAGCTATTGCGACGTAAGTTAGCTAAATAGCACATGATGCTGGTAAGCATAAAAAAGTATATAATAGCCTGAAAATCTAGTAGACCTAGCAATACAAAGCAGAAACTAACATATTTTTGTTGCTGGTACCAGCATGAATTTTGAATAGGGTATGCTGTTCACCCTGTAAGTTGTCTCTCTGGTATAGCATCCGCACCGAGCAGTTTCCTGCGTTAGTTACATATTCGTAGAGCTGAACTTCTTCTCCCCTCTATATTCTTTGATTCTATTACCCTTTATTGTTGCAACCAGTAGTTTTGTTACACTCTGTATAATGACCGGATCTCAACTTCCACTCCCCACTATAAAAGGGGGGGGGATATTAGGGAAAATGTAACTGGTACTAGAGAGTACTGAAATGCTAACTTTAAGAGCAGTTGATACACTTTACAATCTGGCCTTACATTCTCTTAAGAATAATTTGAAAATTTAAACGTGATAAAAATTGTCAACAGACACCGATTACAGATCCTTTTTGTAAAGGTAACTTCCTTATGACCCTAACATTCGAAAATAAAACACCTTTTCTTTAAAAAATGTTAATCTATAAAGTAAGCTTTAAATATGAATAATTAACATAAACACGGACGTTAAAATAGGAATAATTCCCTGACGAATCGCAAGCAATTATTCTTATTTTATTCATATACATGTAGGTTGTTATGTCCAACTTTTCTACTTGAAATTCTTGTCAGAATAAAGGTACAAAAGAACAGGTTTTCATAAAAATAAATAAATAATAATAATGGAAAAACAAGATGCAAACAAATGATTATGATGAAAGTTTATGTCATGATACGGAAGAATATTTAACAAATTTTTATAACATGCATGTCATATATGTGTCATGAATAATTATTTTTAGTAGTTTGTGATAACATGTGATTTATTGTTTATTTTTTCAGCTTATTAAAGGATTTAGGATTCGGATTTTTTTAAAACCACTTTTGTTAAAAGTCAAGCAAGTTTGGATGCTTGACATTTTTGATTTTTTTTAAATGTTCAGGATATATGTGTAAAACTATTTGACATGTTTCTTCATTTTTGCGAAAGATTTTCTTTTTCTCGAACTTTTAAGGGTCAAAACTCCAGATTCTTTGAAATTTAAAAAAAAAAGAAAAAACATATCTATTTACAAGTGTAAGTCATGGCACTGACCATTGTTTTATGTTCTAATAACTATTAAGATATAAATACTTTCAGTGGACCTTCGTATCGAAGGTAATTTATCAATAAAAAAATAATAATAAAAACTAAATTCCACAATAAATTAAAAATTTTTACTGATAACCATTCTCAATGTTTAGAACAAAGTTTTTCAGTTTCACTTTACGCAACCATAATTCAGACTATTTTAATATTACTTTCAGTTTATTACTTATTCAATGCTATTTTTAGCTTACGTATACAGGAAGAACTTTAGAAGTAGTTTAGATAATCGCTGAAGGTCTGCTAATTCAACAATTATACATTAATTCTAATTTCAAGATTTTTATAAACAAAACTATTAAAAAATGCCATTATTTGCATTAAATACATATAAAATGATTAGTAGTTTTATAAGTTGGTATGTTCACAATCGCTATGAACATTATTTATAAAGTCTGGGTTCCGGCAAAAGAAGGTCGATTATTTAAGGTTCCCAAAAGAATTTGAAACCGCTGCTATAACCTATACTATTCTCTAAAAATAAATTTGAAATACTCTTCCTTTTTTTTTAATTATTAAATTGTGAACTTGCATTTCAAGAAGAAGAAGAAGATCTCCCATACCCACACATATGACCTATGACGTCAGCCCCAGCTAATCTCAATCAGCAAAATGGCGTAAGTTGAGCTAAGTTTCTCTACATAAGTTAGAATGTTAATTAACGATAAGTTTATTAAATACAAAGCCATATCGCGCATCGAATCGGATTAAATACAATCCCTTCTCGTCTATATCTCTTAATTAAATTAGATTTATTATTTGTTTATGTATTTTATTGCAACCGTCATATATTTTTGTACCTGGCAGCTTCGATCCATAATTAGTTTGTTTATAATCCACGTGGCTTCGTGCCTGACTTTGTGCTAATATATAGTGAAATAATTGAAATCTTTGAGAAAGAATCTTTGTGTAGGAATATAGAATGTGTCACTTAAAAAGAATTGATACTTGACGGGCTTGGCTTACTCCAAATAGAATGAAAAGAGCAGTTGCTAACGTAAACAAATGTCACGTTTCAACAACCAATCAGAATCGAGATACCCACACTACGTCACTTGCAGGTATCCCATTTTCAGTTAAAACGAAAAAAAGCTTGCTTACCCCTGAAGAGAATGTGCACACAATATAGTCTGTTTTGGACAAAGCAAATACATCCAGAACTAGATTCCATAAAGATACATTATTGTATCTGGTCTCCACTTTTGAAGCCGAGGAAGCACTTTCAGGATTATATAAGCAATCGTAGTTTGGGAATCTAGGAAATTAAAAATTTTTGTTACAGAAAACACTTATGCTCACATTCTCACAAAACATATAGAATTTCTAAAATGTTTTTTCTCGCGTTGGCAACGAAAAGCTTAAACAAACGATGCTATTAATTAGGCTTAAATAAAAAGATAAAAATTAACAGTTCATATAAATGAAAAAATTTTTCTATATTTTTGTTTTAATTGTGCTTACTAATTTACGCAAGTTCAGAAAAAATTCAGAGCTATATTTTAATTTCAGGCTAACTTTATAATTGGGTATTTGCGACTCAAAAGAAAGGTGTTTCAAATATTATGTGGTTGTTTTGTGAGTAATAGGTTGTTAAGACATAGAATTAGAGCTACGGGGGGGAGGGGGGTTAGCACATATCTATCAATAATTTTCAAACATTTAAAACATTTTAATGCTATTTTTTTACCTTAAAAAAGCTATCTTTTAGTAAGAAATTTAAGATACCTTATATGTGTTTTAACTACATAATTGCATAATAATCATTCTCATAGGACAGAAATTTTAAAAAACCATTTAATGATTTAATTTCAACGTACTCATTCTAGCGAAAGGAAATTTAAGTACTATTATTAATTATAATTGGAATTAGTTATTTAATATAAGTTTATGGAAGAATATTTTTTCTTCCATAATTGTTTCCTCCGCTCTTTTATTTTTAAAACTATGAAAACACAGAAATCGAGACTTACCATAATTTCTCATACGTTACAAAACTTATCATATCCCACTCACGCAAGAATTCTTTAATTCTTGCTGATACAATTCAACAGTTTTTCACAATCCATGAATCTATGCTTTTAAGTTTAAAAGTATCATATTTTCACCAACAGGGAGGGGAAAAAAACATTTTTGAAAAAACTTTGTTCCAATGATCGGGTTTTCACGTTTTAAGTGCTTTCGTTGATAAATCGAATTCTTTGACTAAACCGATTGTTTGTTCGATGAATTTTGATTATTTGTTTCTTTGTTTTTTCTTTTAGTTTATTTAGGCTTAATAATTTTACTTTTTGGTATTCCATGCTATCCCAAAAATGTTTTAAGCGAATTAAAAAAAAATTCACTCATAATTATAAAATTTGTTTAGCTCAAGAAAATGCAATGAATTTTCTTTTCATAATTTGCTATTAATTTATACTAATTTGTTTAATAATGGTTAAAAGAATTTGGAATACCAAGACGCATTAACTCATGTATCCTTTTAAACTATGTGATTTTAAATGACACCATGAAAAATTTGAATGAAATCGCGGTTGAAGAGTTCTTGAGAAACGCAAATTTAATAATATGACTTTTTAAAAATTTGTAACTCAAAAACTGTTTGATCAATGATGTTCAACTTTGAATTTTAAAATTACACAGCTTAAAATGATGTAAAATTTACATATTTTACATTTTAGTTTTCTATAATTATTAATAACAAACAATAAGAGATAATCATTTAAAAATAAATTTTTATATTCAGTTTTCTTTGGATAAACAAATTTTACAATTGAGTGGGACAATGTTTCTGATTAGCTTTAAAATTTCTTTAAAAAAATGGCAAAAAAATCAGCAAAAAAAGAAGATAAATAATACTAACAAATACTTAAACTTCGGATTTAAACGATCGCTTTCTGGCCTAAACAGCTGGGACCATACTTTCCAGATTATGGCTCGGCTCAACCTCCCGAATCGAAATTTGTTGAATAAAAGATATTGCTATTCATGTAAAACAGTTTTTGCGTCTGATTCTGTATAATATTTAATAGTTAATGCTAGCTAATTAACATAATTAAGGTTGACCTTCGGAATTCTAAATATATATGCATTTGCAACAACACTGGTATATATATATACTGTGCAGCTATATATGTATATTAATATATGTAACACTGGCATAAGAAATTAAAAGAATTTGCAGACTTGATCGATTATCTCCAGAACTACTGAACTGATTTAAATGAAGTTTGATGTGTACATATATTGATACAATACAAAACAAATAACCATTAAACAATTGTATTACACACGAATGATCGTGCGTAACTTTAGTTCGAATCGGAAGGTATGAAATTGCCACAGAACAATTCAGGCCAATTGAAACAGGAAATGAAAAACTGTCTGTAAACATGAAATCCCGCTGCACGGCCTGCATATCTGTAAGAGGGAACCATATCTCCTATTATCCAATTTTTTCTTTTTTTAAATTCTGCAACTGCTGTTTCATACCTTCAGATTTCAACGAGTGTTACGCATGATCATACGTGTGTATTACAATTGTTGAATGGTTATTTGTTTTGTATTGTATCAATGTATATACACATCAAATTTCATTAAAATCGGTCCAGTAATTCTAGAGATAATCGACCATGTCTGCAAACTCTCTCAATTTCTTACAGCAGTGTATAGATTAATTAATATATATACACCGAAGAGCCATTACATTATGACCACTCTCCATCTATAACAATGGGCTCGCCCAGGTTTTCATGGTTTCTCGCCCAGAAGCAATGTTTTCATGGGGCACATTAGGACCCATAATCCTCATAGAACAATCCCTGACGTCTGTAAGCTACTTGAACATAGTTGCAGACCAGGTTCACCCATTCATGGCAACAGTTTTTCCTGCGGGGTATGGTGTTTACCAACAGGATAATGCACCATGTCATAAGGGTTGAATCGTCGAGGAACATTCCAGTGACTTTCAAGTCATGTCTTGGCTCCCAAATTCACTTGACCTTAATCCAGTATAGCATTTGTGGTCCTACTTGGAAAACCAAATTCGTGCTGCCACGCTACCCCCTCGCAATGTGAGGGAATTGCAGGACCAGTTGGTGAGAGCTTGGTACCAGATACCTCAAACTACCTATCAGCACCTTCTGGAATCAATGCCACGGCGGGTGCTAGCAGTTTTGAGGGCTAAAGGTGGTCCTACATGTTATTAGCAGGGTGGTCATAATGAAATGGCTCTTCGGTGTATGCATATAATAATTTCGATATTCAGACTTTTTTTTTGCTGCACCATGACCATTCGTGTTTTTATTATTTGAAAAAAAAGCTATAATACAGATAGCAGCATAAAGTGCGTAACATACTGCTTACCTTTGAATAAACAATAAAGGTTGCGTTTCCCCCTTCCGAAAAAAGGCGAGTTTTAAAGTTTTTGAGACACGAGTAGGGGGAAATTCGTGGAGTGCCTCAGGTTTCATAAGCGGTTTTTGTTATAAATATTATCGTAGAATTTTTTTTTCTTCCAAACATATACAAGATTGCCTAGGCATGGTTCTTGAATGCAGTTCTAGTGGCGAAATAAAATAAATAAATAAAAACTTTGTATAGAAATGCAAGCTATTGAACTAGAGAAAATAAGCTATATAAAAACATTTCTAGAAAATAAGCTGCAAAAAAAAAAACATTTGATTTTTGCAAAGTATCTCGATAAATTATTAGATTCAAAACAGCTCTAAAAAATTATAATCATGGAATAAAAATTTTATTTTGTCCATTTTTAGGAAATAAATTGGAAAAAATATATCTATTTGAATTATTTAAATAAAAATCTAACTAGTTTCAGAGCTATCTACTTTCTTGAAGATTTTGTAGAAATAGAAAACTTGTAGGGCCCCTCGCAACGGCCCTGTATCAATTACATAAATAAAAACCTGATCTTTCCTTTTTTTTAAACTGTACAAAGATAATTTAAAAACAATTTAAACATTATAAATAAAAGCAAAAAAATAATTTTTTGGCAAGATAATTGAATTACAATTTTTACCTAGTATTTTGGAACAGGCCTTTGGAAGTAACCTGTAATTTTTATAACAAGTATGATTAAATAACAAGTTCAAAGTACCTGTTCCAAAAAATATTAGCCATCTCTAGCTGAAAAGGATGAAATATGAAGTCAAACGGGGTCTGGGGAGGATGGAGTCAAGTAGACACAAATGTTATTGACATTTCATATTTAATCAACCGCTCATTTGAAATAAGTATTGAGTAACAAATTTAATCATTTACCACATAAAATTAACACCGTTAATAGTACAATTCGATGTTTCATAAATAAAAGAATTTTAATAATAGAGTCATGCCAGTTTAAATAATCGCCAATTGTTTAGTGTTAATTGCTTTTTTTCTTCAATACATTGTCAATACGTTTTTCAGTACTTTTGAACATATTTAATACATTTAAATGGCTCTTCTAACAATTTGAAGATAATTAGCAATCTTTTCAACTATAAGTCAGCCAATCTGCTAATTTTACTAACATATAGATGGCATGCGAAAACGAAGAATCATAACTCTAAAACGGTGGTGACTCTATTAAAAATGTTTCAGCTACGAAAAAAAATTTTATTTATTAGGTTTTTAGACTGCTTCTTTAATACTAAATTTATAAAATTTCCACTTTTTCATATAACCTCTTAGCCATTGTGATACAAATGATTCTTTGATTATAACTCCTGTATTGTATCACAATGTTGCCCAGGGAACGCCAAACGAGGAGGCGAGGTTATTTTATTCTAACTGCTTAAACACTAAGAAGAAAATTTGATGATATACAAAAGATCAATTTTTTTCTATATCATGAGCATCGATCATTATCTGTAAAATCTATCACTTTTGTCATAGTCACTGGGTCTTAGAGTAGTTGTTATTTTAGTGTTTAGCAATCACAATAGTTCCCCAAGAGGGCTGTCGAGCACATTTAGAAGTAGCCAGAACAAGGACAACAGCCCTCCGAGGAGTAAAAGAATCGTTAATTCCGTACATTCCATGTAAATATATTCTTACAGGGTAGATCTATGAATTCTGCCACATTCAAATAACAATGTAAATAAAAATAACAAAATAAATACAGTAGCATAAATAACTACTGAACACATAATTTTGATAAGCAGAATGCCAAATAAAACTTAGATATTTTAATGCAAAACAATATGGAACAAAAGCCAAAATGATCTCAGGGTTAATTTTGCTTAAATACTAAACTTA